CCCCCTCGCGAGGGCCTCCGCAGCCACAATCCTGTGCGTGCGTGCATTCTCAGCGTTTTAAACACGGCATGTGTGTGCATGTGCTTGTGTGTTTGGCAGCGCCTATACTTGCGGAGCAGCTGTGCGCCACAAGAGAGTCTGAAGAAAACAGCGGCAGAGAGAGGAAGATAGCACACATGCAAATTACTCATATCATCACACACACACACACGCAGCCGCGGAATGGGTGCACTCAACCACAAAATCAAAAAGCAAAACAAAACAAAAAGCCGAAGCGTGGGACGACCAGCGCACACACACTCTCATTACTCCCGTAAAGCAAAACACACACACAGAGGGAGAGAGAGAGAGGTCGCCCACTCAATGCAATAAAAACAAAACAGAAACAGTTACGGTGCTCCGTCCATGCAGCCAGGCAGGACGGCAGCGGTGCGTGTCGTGCAAAAGAGAGCACCAACGGGCCTGCATGGGTGTGCATGCATATATACAGTGGACACATTATTGTGTGTGCCTCGTGGGGTGAGGTGAGGGCGAGAGTCCATGCAAGGGGACACACACACAGAGAGAGAAGGAAGAGTGTGTGTGCGGGCGGTGCATGGCTCCCTCACTCTCACGCAGCCACCACCACAGCAGCCGCACACGCAACAACAACAAGAAGCAAAAGAGGGGAGGTGGTGTGGGAGACCGCAGTGCTGCCGTCACTGTCGCCTTTTGTAGCCGTATCATTTGTTTGAATGATGGTAGCTGTTTTCGCTGTTGGTGGTGCCGCCTCAGTGGATGTGGGGGCATCGTTGGTATTATGAGCTGTGTGGTTGCTTGTTTCTTTGGGGCTAGGCCGTTCAGCTTTGTCATTATTCTCATCCCCCGTACTCTGGGCATCGTCGCTGTCATTTGTAGAGATGGATGATGAGGTTGTTTCCGCATGTCTGCCGATAACGGCAGCTTTCACCATATTTGATGCATCCTTGTCCTGATCTTGTTGCTCTGTCTCAGCATCCCCTGAAAGTTCTTTCAGTGCTTCGGGTTCCGTTTTGTTTTGTGACGGTGAGTTTTCGTTTGTTTGGGTTTTTGGTTCCTGTGAGAGATCTCGTGTTGTTGAACTTTCTCCTGTTTCTGAAACTGTCACTGGTGGTGATGCTTTTGGCTGTGATACTTCCGGCGTTGGTAGTGGTGGTGGCGTTGTTAATTTTACAGGTGGAGTGCTGTCAATGGGCAAAACGATGGGAGGTGTTTCCTCCCTCGTGGCACGCTTATCTGTACTGTTTTCATTGGCATTCACACCGGTAACTTGACTGTTGGCTTCTTCGTGCGTATTAGCAACTTGGCGTTCTGCCTCGGGTTTGGGCCCCTCCACCAACGCCTCCACTTTGGGCGGTGTGGTGCTTGAAGGCGTTTTGATTTCTCCTGACTGCGTAATTGTTGTTTGAGGGTCCCTGCTCGGAGTGGAGGGCTTGACTCCGGAGGGCTGTAAACCTTCACCGGTTTGGGGAGTGTGAGGAAGAGGCGTAGGTAGAACACCAGAAGGAGTAGCCTTTGAAGAAACACCTCCAAGTTGACTGCCACCACCTGAGCCGGGAGACCCCAAATTAGAGGCTCCACTTTCTCCGCCGCCACCAACGCCACCAACGCCACCAACGCCAGGAGCAACAGACACATCAGATAGAGCTGCTGGAGGTAAAATTGAAGGCTCCTCAGATGAAACTAAAGCCGGGCCAATGACGGTTTGATCATAATCATTTTCGTCAACTGAAACTTCAGCGGCGACGATGGGCAACACAGAACGCAACGAAAGCGTGAGCGCGGTTTTGTTACATCCGCTCGACAAATACAATTTTTTCTTTCCAAACTCTCCCGACGCCGTACAGCCATCCAGTGCCTTGTTCTCGCGGTTCCTCGCATAAACCCCACAGGCACCGCACCACAGCACGCAGAGGGCACACACCAGCAGCACACGGCCAGTCATCATCATCGCCATCACTCCTCTCGCTTACGTGCAGCCTTCAGCACAAACCAACACGTCAACGCAGAGAGAAAGGAAAAGGAGAGACAAGTCACACAGCCACGCCACAGTAACAAATGGCACGATTGGAAGCTGCAGCGCACACACCACGAGACAGATGGAATCAGTGCGATTGCAAAGCTCGCACACCGCACTGCAAACCAGAAGTTTAAAAAGCAATATGAAACAAGAATTAAAAAAACAAACCAGGGCTCCAGTGCGCATGCATATGAATGTGTCCGCGATGCATTCAACGTGGCGGATGCGGGGCACAACGCGGAGCACACAGCATGGCAGCGAATACAAATAAAGCAAAACACGATCATCATAATTACTCTTACTTTATACATCGGACCACAGTGGACGCACACATGTCCCCGTGGCTGAGTGCTGGCACGCACAGTCCGCACACACCTCTTCAGACCACAGCGGTGTACGCCAGCGCGGATACGGCGAGCAGCAGCGGGGCACACACCCACGCAGAGCTGCTGAGGCTGCCGTCGATTTCGCGAAGACGTGACGGTGCGCGGGTGGTCGTCGTAGTTGGCGCCTCTGTAGTCGTAGTACTTGGTGCCACTGGCGCAGTGGTGGTCGTGGTCGTTGTAGTTGGTGCACGTGTTGTAGTGGTGGTTGTCGTGGTTGGTGCCTGTGTTGTATTCGTCGTCGTATCTGGTGTCTTTAACACAACAGAGCTCCCTTGTGTCTTTCGCAGGGTAGGGTCCTCACATCCTGATCCTTCGTCAACGCCTGTTTCACCTTCCGGGTTCGCAACAATCTCCGTCTCTGAATCCTGTTCCTCGTCAGACTGATCTTGCACATGTGACTAAGGGGACAACAAATCCGTATTTTTATTCAGTCCACCAGTCGTTGTCACGCACACGGACGGGCAGCAGCACAGGACGAGCACCAACAGGGCGCACAGCAGACGGCACGTCGTCATCATCGTGAGTGTGGTCGTTCAGTGGTGTGAAGCTGATCTGCACAGTGAGGGACATGGAGAGCAACAGGGGAGACGAGAGGTGCGGCAGACACACACAGAGGGCACACCACATGAGGAGAGGGCAGCAGCCAGGCATGCACCGTACGCCGCACACCACGCACGACACACACTCCAATCCACGGCAGGCACACACACACAGCCCTGCCGCAACACCAACACACAGATGGAGGAGGGAGAAGCAAACAGGAGCGGCACACAAGGCTCCACCGCATGCACACACGGCGAGAGCGGTCCGTCGTGCCTGCACCCCTCACGGAGGGTACGCACACACACAAGAGGAGGTGCAGCGCACACAGCAACACAAAAGCAAGGTAACAATACAAAAAGGAGATCCCCGCACACCACGTGGATTGTTGGTCCACGGGAAGTGCAGCCAATATTCATCACAAAAACAATTCATTTTTCTTTGACCTTCGTCCATATTCAGCACACACCACTTCATGCAGGCACAGCCACCACCGCAGCAGCAGCAGCAGCACGCATACGAGACAATAAGACGCAAAGGATGGGAGGTGGTGTAGAAGACCGCCGTGCTGCTGTCGCTGTCGGCGGTGGTCGTTGTTGCTTCGTCATTGTTAGTGACTGATGTTGTCGTTAATTCTTCCGGCTGTTTGACTGGGAGCGATGTTAAAAGACAATTGTTTTCCTGGCAGTCATTTGATTCCTCTCCTTTCCCGTCGATTTCTGTGCTCGCCGCTGTGGTAGGCGAGACGCTGACAGGGCTGCCAGCACCATCTGACTGAACTTGGTCTGCTGTGTTCTCGTCCCCATTCCCACTGCACCAGCTGCTGGGGGCGGTGCCGGCCGCATCAATCTATGGGTGTGTCCGCAATCGATAGGAACTTGCATCGACAGGGACTTCTGCACCGACGCTCGGGGATGGGGGAACAGTGGCGACAAACAGAACAGCGCATGCCGCCTCGGAAAATCCGCAAGGCGTACTGGCGCGGACAGCGTTGTGGTCTCGCGGCGACGGAAATAAATGACGGTGCGGGTGGCGTTCTCTTCGTGCGTCCCCTCCGGCCACTCCTTGCCGTAAAGCATTGCCTGAGCACATTGGATTCCACCTGAGATACCAATTAAAAATGTTTTTTCCTCCAAATATATTGTACTCGCATGTGGCGACGGCAGCCCGCAATTTCTCCAGCGGATACACCTGCGATGCACGGTCGACACATTCCACATCCACTCGTCGTGCACCATCCAACACCATCTTTTCCTTGGAGCTACGAATAACACCGGGCACGCACTCCTTTGCGGCCGTCCACGGCATGCGCCTGCGGTGAGGATCCGGAGAAAGTCCCATTCCTTTTGTGCAAAAAGTCATGGAGCTGACGCCGTTGAGCGCGTCCCGGCGAGGGCAACAACAGCCCGCCGCAGCACTCACGAATGCCCACCTGTTGATTCCTGCGCGAAAAAAAATAGACAATGGACAATGGAGGGAAAAGCGCGCACAAATGCCCTGGCAAGAAAGGTCAGCACCGGTGGATGAACACTGAAGCCGTGGGTGCATGCCCCACAAATGTCTTTCCTTTTTTAGCCGCCTTCTTAGTTGCATGGAAATGGCCCGCAAACGCACACGCAAGAAAACAAGAGTAAAAGGCAAGCAGCGCAGCCGTTGAAACACACACATGTGCATTGTATGAAACGCTTCATGGAAAGGAACGGAATGCAGGAAGAAGCGCACACAATTTCCACAGACACCCGCAATCGTGTGTGGTTGCTTCTGTTCCACTCTTTGGCCCTCGATGCGTTCCTGTGCGTGTCTCGCCCGTGAGTCACAGTGCCGTAGGGTGCTAAGTCCCTGCACAAACACACGCACCTCAGGACGCGGCATCGAGGATTCCCCAATGACCACATCACAGCCATACCTTTTGGATATCTCATGGACCGAGCGCCTCTCGCTGCAGGCCACACCACCCAAAACAAGCAGCACTATGCGCTGAGGAGTTGTGAGGGCAATCGTCCCACCATCACCGCCACACAGATCAGGATGATTCTCCCATTTGCCACCACACCCTTGAAATGGCCCGGCGTTGTTCCCTCATGCTCCACTGTTTTGGCCACCACTTGCGCCATTTGGCCCCATCGCATGATCGCGCTCCATCGATGTCAACGACAGCCCAACCCGCAGCATCCTATTCCTGCCCGTCTCCATAATCATGCAGGCATGCTTCTGAAAGGGATCCCCGTCCGTCGCGGCGTTGCTAGTAGAATTACTCGTGCTCCGTCCGCCCTGCGCCGACGCCGTGCTCTCTGGTTGCACGCTCCCGGCCCTCCTCGTCACATGCTCAAGGTTCGCAAACAAATGGGCGTCTAACGTCAGTCCACCGTCTCGGATCAGCTGCTGCTTATTGGCCTCCGTCAACTCGTCGGTGTTGCTCGCAGTCACAAGCAACAGGAGGAGACACAGACGCACAGGCCGGGGCATCGCGGCATCCCTCGTCAGGTGCCGCACGCCATCCAGGTTTTTCCTGAGGTGTTTTTGCCCAGCGACGATGTCTTTTTCCACCTCCCGCACCTCCGCCAGTCGCTTCTCCCGGTACTGTGCCACAAGCCTCGCGCAAAAAATCGATGTGCAGCGACGGTCTGGCTTGCCTCTCCCAAAACTCCGACGGAGCCCGCACCGCACTGCCCAACTCCGCAAGCTTGGCCTTCGGCTCCCCGCCCTGCGCCAATCCCGGGTGATACACGTGGAGTTTTTTCAGCGCCACCGAAAGCTCCTACACGCACTGCGTAAGAAAACAATGACGGTAGGAGCACTAGTATACATCTTCCTCATCAATTACTGCCGCTTCGAGCCCTCACCCAGACGATTCCTACAGGTCTGCTCATACAAGTTATTCTCCAGCGGCATCAGGTCATCAAGCAGAAACTGACATGTGCGTTGGTGCATCAGCGGCGTCACCGTGACACAGCCCCAATCAACGATGATCCGCACCGGGTTGCCGCAGCTGTCGGCGCCACTAAGCGAAATCCGGCTCGTCGTAGCAGAGCCTGAAAAGCCCTCAAAAAAGGTTCCGACAAACCCATGGCAGATGCTGCCTCTGTTTTGGTGGCGAATAACAGGCACACCGTTGTTCATGGCGTGAAAAGCCGCCACAATAAGTGACTCAGCAACGTTCAAAACGGACTCTCGAGTCGGCGGCGACAGTGGCGACAGAAGCTGAGGGAATCCATTCTGCATGCTGGGGTGGAACACCAGCACTTCAGGGGCGCTGAAGTCTAACATAATGTCCTTGGAACGCATCGCCCTCGGCGCTATCCGAGCCCGCACCAGTTGAAGGCGGCGATGCGGGGTGCACCACAACGCAAAGATGTGTGCATCCCTGTGCGGGACCTTTGCCATCCAATCCTCAGCCACGCGGCTCACAGACGCATCCTCCACGGCAAAAAGTAGGGTGCAGGGCTGCTGATAACCGGCTACCGCGGCGTCATGAGGTCCCCGAGCAGCGTCACGCCGTGCTCCATGAGATCATGGAGACGCATTGAGCAGCTCAGCACAGCCGCAGCATGGGCATCGCAGTAAAAAACTTTGGACAGTCCATGAACGACGTCAAGCATGTGATGGAACATATGATCCCGCACACAACCACAAACGCCATTGCTGGACTCACGCGGCTGCCAGCTTCCGTCGGCCTTGCTCGCACCAACCCGCCCTGCATACCATGTCAAGTAGAAGTCACACAGACAATGTGCTTGGATATGCGTGTTTGTGTCTTGTGTGCGCACATTTGACTCGCACCGTTTTTTGTGTATGTGCGTCTCAGAAAATCTAACAAGCACACAAGCAAAGCCATACGACCATACGGTGGCCCCCACATCGGCAACCAACACAAGAAGAGCAGTGCTCATCGGAAGTAACACCAGTTTCAAACGCAAAGTCAGACGGAGTACACACAGCACATGCATATGGAGAAAGGGACCAATTGAAATGGATGTTTTTCTATTGGGCTTCCAGTGCTGATTGCAGGCCACGCAGAAGGAAGCGCAGTCCCCTTGCAGCGCAACGCCGACCACACCGCAAATCGATAGAGTGTTGCCACGGCAGCAGCAGAGACAAGCAGAAGAAGCAGCGGACAGGGACAAGCAGCAGCAGTGTGTCATCACGGGGAGTCGGGGACGGGCCTGCTCGCCGTCCGTCTCGCTGCTTCGATCCCTGCCGCCGAGAGAAGCTTCTCGCGGTCTGTCGGAGCATCCTGGCCGGATCCACTTTTCCTCGGTCAAAAAATTCCTTTCGGGAACAGCCGTGTCTACATCCTTCGGTGGTGTGCCGTGGTCGGTCTCAATGCTCCCCGCAACGGTGACGGATGCCCCTGGGAAGTCTTGTTCAGTAGATGCCGGTGAAACCGTCCTGCTCCACATGCTCTCTCCTCGCCGTCCCACGGAGCCACCGGAAGTAGGCTACCGCTGGTGGCGGATATCGTGCACACCTGCGCGTGGTCACGGCAAATAGCGTTTCCCCCAGCGCAGGGTCGAGTGGCCCACGCAATCGTCGCTCCGTCCGTGCATGGGACCAACGGACGTTGCCCTTTTCAGTCACTTCCAAATGCACCTGCATGCCGAGGCACCTCAATGCCGCATGCGCTACAGCACTCAGATGTGTCTCCTCCGGGTTCCTCGCATCCGTCGTGTTGGTGAAAAGCGTTTCCAGAAACCACGAAGAGGGCTCATCCCCAGGCATCGCAGACAAATATTCTCCCCTCCCAAATAACAGCCTCAACATCCCCCACATCCAGTGCGGGATCACTGATGGGGCAACTGTCCATCGGGCGTTTTGCTGACATTTCAAGGATACTCCGTCTACACCAACCGCTGGAATACCGTTCCGACGCGCAGCATCTGGCAGAAACGCCCAATGCGCAGAGCATGTAGCAATATTCACTCATGTTCAGTGCGGAGCACTTCCTCTGCAGCAGCCGGCGCCCCCAATCGGTGCCATCCACTCATCCCTCGCGTGGCGCTGCGACCAGTGCGACTCCAGCGTCCTCCCGTCCCCATCGTCATCCTGCAGCTCCATGCCATCAATGTCGTCGCAGTCTTTGGGCTCCCTTGCAGGCATCGCGGAAGTCGCCGAGTGCACCACCGCCAACAGCGCCCTGCCACGCACACCGGCAACATTCCTTACCATGCTGCGGCCTGCCATGTGCGGGCAGGTGAACCCGAGAGCATGGGCCATCAGGTGCGCGGCGAGGCGGGTGGCGATGCATCAGTGAAATAAAACTGACAGAAAAAGTGCATGGCGCCAGCGACTGGACGGCCATCCTCCAGCGTGGCGCACGGCAGTACCCACACACCGCCAAACGCCGCAGCCACGTACAGCACCATGACAGCATTGAAAACACCAGCGGAACGATGCCCAGAAGTTACCGTAAAACAACTGCAAACACTGCCCGTGGCAAATGAGGACACAGTCAGCGGACCCTCCAATGGCTGGACGAGCAGACGATCCGCATGCGGGTTTACAGCAGCAGGGACAGTCTCCTCGGCAAGGATGTTCTCTTGCGCAAGGGTCAAAGCACCATTCTTACAGACAAACGCGCCGTCCAAAGAATTTACTGCGCAACGCCAAAAGAAGCCGCAGTCCTTCCTGATGCCACACGGGTTCGTTGTTTACGTCTTAATGCGGAAGGGCAGCTGTCGGTCCTTAAGACGCCGCTGCACACCCGCAATGCATCCTGCGCCCTGAGATGCATTTTCCTCACCGTAAACGAGATAAACCTCGCTGTGGGAGCGCTCCACATCGTCTCGAAATAAGGAACACTTCAGGATGAAAGCAGGACATCCGCCGACAAATCACATCGCACAGATCATCAATAGCAGCACCAGAGGCGATGCAGACCGCATGGTGAAGTGAGTCAAAGGACTCATTTCATAAGCCAAAGACAATCTTAATGACTTTACAAGAATACAAGAAACTGGCGCTTCCTCAACAAAAACGAAAACATAGAAAAATAAAAACAAAAATCCAGTGTCCGCACCAAAGCATGCAGCCGATCAGAAAGTGCAACGTGTGCACTCAACCACAACACAATAAAAACAATAAAACAAAAAGCCGAAGCGTGGGACGACCAGCGCACACACTCTCTCATTACTCCCGTAAAGCAAAACACACACACAGAGGGAGAGAGAGAGAGGTCGCCCACTCAATGCAATAAAAACAAAACAGAAACAGTTACGGTGCTCCGCCCATGCAGCCAGGCAGGACGGCAGCGGTGCGTGTCGTGCAGAAGAGAGCACCAGCGGGCCTGCATGGGTGTGCATGCATATATACAATGGGCACATTATTGTGTGTGCCTCGTGGGGTGAGGTGAGGGCGAGAGTCCATGCAAGGGGACACACACACACAGAGAGAGAAGGAAGAGTGTGTGTGCGGGCGGTGCATGGCTCTCTCACACTCACTCTCACGCGGCCACCACAGCAGCCGCACACGCAACAACAAGAAGAAGCAAAAGAGGGGAGGTGGTGTGGGAGACCGCAGTGCCGCCGTCGCTGTCGCCTTTTGTAGCCGTAACATTTGTTTGAGTGATGGTGGCTGTTAGTGCTTTTTGTGGTGCCGCCTCAGTGGATGTGGGAGCATCGTTGGTATTACCATCTTCGGGCCCGTCTTGTGGTTCTTTGCCGTTAGGCCGTTGAGCGCCGTCGTCAACCTTGTCCTCCTTGTTGTGAGCTCCACCAATGCCGCTTTTAGATACAGATGATAATACTGTTTCCGCTGGAAGACTTGTAGGTCCATCCTTCATCGGATCTGGTGTGTCCGTGTCTTGTCTTTTTTGG